GGTTCAAAGGAACTCACTGCAACACTGATTGAAAAAGATCCACTTTGTATCAAATGTGATCTGTTTCTAAACCATATCTCAAGTAGGGTCAAATAAGGGGATAAAAAGGTTCATGGTTCACTCATTTGCTTAGCCAAAGACCTCAGAGTGTTCCCCTATCCAAAAGTATTAAAGACAGGTCTGCATTGCACAAGTCTCTGTATTTCTCTTCTTTCTAGCTAGCTGTGAGACAAAGTGTAAGACCGCATTCACATCGAGTTGAGTCATGGCTCTACAAAGCCATGAACTAAATATGGCGGACGTACATGAAAGGAAAACCACCTAATCTTTTGATAGTCTCTCCGCCTCTCACACGCCTCCCCTAGCGTCGTCCCAGCGGGGGTACAGTCATTAAATCTCGGCTCCATTGGGACACACATGGAGAGGCGTGTGAGAGGCGGAGAGACTATTAAAAGATTAGGCAGTTTTCCTTTCATGTATGTCCACCATATTTAGTTCGTGGCTTTGTAGAGCCATGGCTCAACTCGATGTGAATGCGGTCTTAGATTATAACGGACATGTTTACTTAATTCTAAGCAACCTTGCTTGAAAAAAAAAGCCATAAACTAATCCATGTTCCCTTGAGATGCGTGTGTGTGTGGAACTATGCAATTCTCTGACAATAAATATCTGCAAGAAATTAATTTCAATGATCTCTCTTATCCCAGTGTCACACTAATCCTTCTGGAAATCTGCTTTGATAAAAATAATCATTTCTTTTCCCTTGTGATCAAAGTTCATGTAAATATAAAACTTCCTTTCGTGTCCTATCATAATACATTTACCTACAATATGGTACTTGGTACACATCACTCAGTGACAGCAAGAATGGCCGACAGGAAAATACACCGGTCGTTGGACAATAATAAGGGCACCATATTTGTTCAGAGCTCAATTTTATTACACCAAATTCACCCAATTTCATTAAAGATTAATATGTGATCACAGACATTGATATTTCAATCCATTTCCACTTCAATCAACTCTCAAAGCACATACAATGACAATGCAGTCATGTAGCTATCATGGCAAATGATTATTTTGCTTGATACACTGTAATAAAGCATAATGTTAACGACATTTTTTTATGTCTTAGTACGAAATCTGACACTTTGCACACTAATGATATGTCACCTAGAATGGAAAATAATTAAGTAAATCAAATAACGCTTTAATATCTGGTGTTTAAGATAATTATGTGTCAATTAATTTATAATGCATGTACTTAATTGATAAACAGATGGTGCTGACAGATGAAGTTTGTGGTTATATGGCTATTTTAGTTGATATATATTAGAATTTGATCATGTGTAATTCATAATTTAAGACGGTACATGTAACTTTGTTTAGAATTTTAAATTTTAATCTGCAATCCTCACATTGTAGAGTGCTGAGATTAACATGGAGTGCTGTTTCAAAGAAAATTATTATTATTACTATATAGTGCTTGTCCATATAAAACATGTATTTCAGTCAGTTAAACAAAAACATAATGATTCATAGAAGTCTATCACACAATACATAAATTGCATGTGTAACAAAGTTGCTTAATGAAATAGCTTCCACTCAAAGGAAAAATTGCAATGACACTTCTCTTCCCCATGTAATCACTGCTGTGATCAAACCATTCAATGACATTGTGTCATTTAATAGTGTGTGGCATTGGAACGGTTGCCAATCACATGCTGTTTACCTCCCTGGGGATTAGTGACTGAATGACATAATTTGTTCAAGCAGATTTGAGAACTGTTCAGACAAGATCGAATTTGAACCGGAAATGTGATTTCAGTCAAATCAATCGATGATATTTCATAACCACACATTCAAATGTCTTACTTAGACAAAAATTGGGCCATTCTATCAGAGGATCAGACTACAGGGAATAAATTCCACTGCAACTTAAAGCACTGTCTGATGAACCTGTTCAGTTCATGATAAAGTTTTGTCCAAATATCAGTCCAGAATGCATTTCATGAACAATTAATTTAATAAGACTATAAAAAGGTAAAAGGTAAAAGCAGGACTTTAAAAAGCCATACTAATCAACTATGGAGTGTGTAAGGTGATGGTTTCCAAATTCTAATACTATGAGATTAAACCACATGTAATTGTATGTTAACTTAGTCAAAGAGTTTTTTGTCTGAATATCAATTGCTTTGCCATTTTTATTTCTAAGGGCCTGTACAGAACCAGCTGATTCATTGACTAACAAGTCTGTGGACCAAATAAGGCGCAATCAAGCTACTTAAAATCATGCCAAGATTTCACTGCTCTCCCCCTGAAGGGACAGCATACGTGAGAGGCAGGAATCCATTGTCAGGTGTACACCATATTTGATCCCTGGACTAGTTTGTCTGTGGTTCAACTGGTTGTGAACAAGCCCTAAAACACACCCACACATATTCCTCTCATCAGCACATAAGACATGTAGCCTGGAGATTGTCTGAAAATATTTTCAGACCAACAACCACTAATTTGACCTATATGTCCCCCCTCCCACTGTTCTTAGACAGCACAATTAAGTTAGCTTGACTAGTTTTTTTAAACATATATTATTCAGTGCCCATAAGCTTAATGGAAATTGCTCAAGCGTTAGGGCATTCGTGGACCCCCTGGGGTTTGTAATTTGCCCTAGTGAGTATTCCGCCTCTGCTCTTAAATGTACAGTGCCTCATTGTACACAGAGAGCTGGTTATTATATCTAAAATTGCTGGTAACTTCAGTAATAAGGATAATAGCCCATATTTTGTATTTAGACACTGAACCTTAAATTGATTTTTTCATCTTTCAAAGATCAATTTTTGTTTGCTTCATTCAATTAAATTAATCAAATTATATACAAGGTATCTATATAATTGCATGTAAAACCTAATAAACTACATTTACTCAAATTAATATTGATGTTCATGTAATCATTTATGTCAATTTTTGTTTGCTTTTGTACAGAAAAAAATTAAGCCATTAAATCAAAATAATAATAACAACACTGGTGTTAGTTTGTAAGCAGAGTGCCCATATAGCAATATACTACACTAACTGACATAAACCCCAATCTTAAAATATAATTATTCAAAAATAAAAATAAATATATTCCAACTTTTTTTCAATCAACAAAAGACGAAATATGCATGCTTCTTGTCTTGACAAAGCAAAGGAAAGGAGATAAATACTTATAAATTGATAATAATGTGCAATGCAACACACAATGGGCTAACAAATTTAAGAAAACTCTGTACAAAGTGCAATAAAATAATAATAAATAAAAATATTTTAAAAAAATAATAATTTGTGTTTAGTATAATCAGTAAGAAAATGCCACCTACCGGTTTATCATCATCGGGACACGTCTTACATGTGCAAACACCCCTGCCTTGTTGAACGGTGCATACGCCTCCGTGCTTGCATGTGACAGATTCACACGGGTTGGTCACCATGGGTCCAGTACCTGTTATAACAACACAAACAACTGTCACAAAGGCGAGAGCAGTGTAAAATGCAGTCCTCTCATCACACATCCCAGAATCCTCTCCTGCTGTCACTGTCGTCTGTTAATTTCTACATTCAAGATGGAAAACTGTTGAATTTTTTAAAAATTCACTGTTGCAAAAACCAGTGCAGGATATTTTTCCCCATCATCAAACATCCCATAATGATCAACTGCTGGGCTGTCTGCTACTTTTCTGTCATCTGTTAATGTCTTCTTCCAAAATGGAGGGAAAGTTGAAAAAAGAAATCAAATTATATGAGTAATAGGGGTTAACCATAGCAATCTTTTATGTCTAAATGAGCAAATAGTTTTTCCTCCCTGTAAGTCATTCACTGTGTCAGTTTCCAAGATGGAGAACCGGACTTCCAAAAATCAAGTCCTGATACAAGTTTGACGTTGTTATCAAGATTTTGTCAATGAGGCACTATCATGCAATAAATCCCTCTGCGATAAATCTTGTCTACGGCATCTTAGAAAACAGTCAACTGGATCAGTTATTGAATATGAAACCAACTCGATCCTCGACGGGGTCCCTAAGTAAAATGCATTTGCAATAAATATCCCAATATCTGGAAAAAACGTTCCCACAAAACAACCAAATTAGTGGCTATCAACCTCCTTCGTCTGGCTTGTCCGATGGATTTGTGATCTGCCAATTTTACTTTCATCGGTGGCTTTCATTCCTCCTCCTTGCTTTTAATGAGTTTGCAAATACAATTATGACACTGGGCTTAGAAGGGAACTCAAAGCTATTGATCCTTCCAAATGTTTTTTCGGAGAAGGCGGAGGCTTTCACTTAATTGGCTGCAAAATGTAGCAGCCAACTTCAACTGTCAAGAAAAAATGTTTTAACAAACTGTTGCCTTGTGGCCAATAATTTAAGGAATTGTATAATAAATTAGCTTTAGTCTGTCTTTATAAAACTGATATCCATAAATAAGATATTTCAATGAGCTAGCTAGGACACTTCAGTCAAGTGTTTAAATCGTCACAAATGAATCAAATGAACTCCCAGCTGAGTACCTTAAATAAAGTTTCCAGAGCTTACCATTAAAAAAATGGTCACTCATTCGTCTGACTCGTTTCAATCTCCACGAGTTTTTTTTCATTCATGCAAATTCAGTATCAGCAAAAAATATACACATTGTCATTTTTCCATTAATTGCTTTCCTCACGTCACATTCGTATTTTACCACCGACAAAAAAAGCTCTTCAATGATGAAATTAGGACATAGTGCAATCAAGTATCATTTTCTATCCTAAAATTCTGAAATGTTCCTAATCCATGCACTGATCTGTCTTCAATTAGCTAATTAATGTCTTATAAAAAGTCTCAAAAGACTTTCTACAGTAACTGTAAGAGAATAAACCCAGACAGGATTTTTTTAACCATGTTAAGTCTAAGAAGCTACTCTAAGATGCTCTTTGATGAACTTAGTTCCACAGTCAACAAACAATGTGATCCTGGCGTCTCAACCCAAGACTTCTGGTCTGTATTAAGTCAACCGATCTGGTTATATACATATACCAAGATGGCCGCAGGGATCCCAAAGGGGATATTAAGGTCCCCTTGGCTTTCCCAGCCTAAATGGAGTTCATAGAATTTCTTTTCCATATTGAAATCTAATTGTGGCTGATTATGTTCAGTCATCTGTAAAAATGAAGAGTAATATTATCACAGATTATGATGTCTTAATCAAATAGGCTGTATAGTTTTCTCCCCCAAGACATACATACGAACATATACGTGTCGCTTGGTTAAAAGGTTTGATTCAAAATATACTGCCTTCTTCATATTTTTGTCTAAATAAAATGAATTACAAATAGTTTGCTCAGTTATACAAATCCCTTGCTTGACAAATTTTAATCAAAATTGTCTCTGAAGTATATAACCCAGTAATCTCGATACTTTAATCAAAATGTCTTGCCAATTCTTATTCTAAGCCAGATAAAACGTTTTTGTCAGAACCACTCACTCTGCCCTCCCCTCTTGAGGATATTTCCTCTCCCTCTGAGCACTTAATATTCTTTCCTTCAAAACCCTCTATATCTTTCTGTCAGTAAAATTGAAAACCAAAGTAAGATGTTCTATAGAACTCCCAAGTAATTCCGTTACAGCTTCCTACAACTAAAAGAGCACTTATCATTTCTCCAGCACAACACTGTCATCTCGTCAAAGCCATTGAAAGCCAGAAATAAGCCTTTCTATAAAGAAGAAGACAGGATTTTCTTCTCACGCAAGCCAATTGACTACCAATCGATTTTACGCTATTTAATTTGGGTTAATTAATAAAATGTGAAGAGACCATTAAGCATCTCTCCTGACATCTTGATTGGCAGGTGGTATGGCTGGGCATCCCTGATGGATCTGATATGTCTGGGAGTGTACTCACAAGAGATTCTGAATAGCTTGTGAAAAGCAAATTCTTTCATTTTGTAAATATTTATTTATTAGTTTATTTGTTTGTTTTTTTTTTAACATTACGTACCTGAAGGGAGATATTATTCTTGCTTCCAGGCAGCCAACTCTAGTATTTGATGCTGGAACTTTTGTCCACATCAAGATGTCAGATTTTGGCATTTTCAAATATACTGATGTATCTCGAGATAAAATCAATAAACTAAACTGGTCAGACAAATCAATGAATAAATGCTCTGGCAGTCTATGGCTATGGACAAATTCACACAAGATTCAGCTAGATCTCTTATGACAAATATAAAAAAACTCATCTCCAAATCAGTGGCTAAGAGCTAGCTTACAACTGTTAACTGCAGGAATGCCATATACATTGTGCAACACTTTTTGGTGTGTGTGTGTGTGTGTGTGTGTGTGTGTGTGTGTGTGTGTGTGTGTGTGTGTGTGTTTTCACACGTGCTTGGTATGTGTGCATGTTTGCGTGTATGTGCATGTGTACATGTGCTTGGTGTGTATGTGTGTGCACAAGTGTGATATGGATGTGTGCATATGCATCTGTGCACAGAGACATGCACATATCTATTTGCATGCATGCATGTACATGCATGCACATGTACATGAGCCTTCAAGTGGAAGGCATATATATCATAACATAACCCAGAGCCTAAACCACACTAATCACATCAAATACTATCTCCTATGCAGACAGCCAGCCAATTATCCCCAGTCAGGAATTATACCTTCATTCCACAATAATGGAAGGGTGTTTATAGACATAAAAACACAATCAGCTGAGATCAAAGTATTTGCTAATAAGGACTGGTGTATGACTAGGAATTCTAAGTTCATTATGAATTGCTGTTCTTCTTATTTTTTCTGCAATAAATTCTCCCATGTGTTTTAAAACATTGTGGAAAAATGAAATTGCCTGATGAGTATCACAATTATATCAATTGCTTCTTTTTAATGGTAACATTTTATCCTACTGGTAGCTTTTTAGACTTGAAATAAATCACCAACATTTTGTTTTCCTTTTGTTCTTTTTCTTCTACCTTCAAAAAATTTCGAATGGATGTTTAAAACATCTTCAGTCAAGCAAATTTGTTCTATTACTGATCTTAAGATTTAAATGTTCATATTCATGTAATTATTAACTCTCTAACTGATGACACATTCCATTTTTTTTTTTTAATTAAAAAGTTGAGACCTAGCTTAGTGGCATATGCAAGAGACTTTTGCACATCACTTGAGATTTTCTAGGGAAATATCCCTTAAAGTTTTCTTGAAAAAAAAAACAGGCGAAATACTTGAAATCATGCACTGCTGCACTGCAAAAAAGAGCCACAACTCATAATTTTATTTAAGAAGCTCCCTCATCTTGCAATCTAAAATACTGGGATGACTTGGGCCTGGGAGCAATTACAGAAACCATCTCGTCTACATTTTCTTTTTTGACAAAAAATATATACTCTCTCGAAGTTAAAAAAACTACAAGGCAATTACAAGGAGCATCTAATTCCACTGCTGTGGTACCATTTTCTTGATAATCTAAAGAAATCAATGCTTCTGGGACGCCAGAGACTCAAACTAACACGGTGAGTTGATTGGTATATTTACAGTGGAGTCGGCTCGGGATTCTGACACCCAGTAATCTTATTGATTTGAGAGCCAATCTCTTTTCTTTTTCTTTTTTTTTTCTGTCTCTTACGATTTTCGGAGTCCTACTCGTATCAGCCCTCAGTCTTCCTACTCTGGGATGAAACCAATCTCATGAACTTGTGCAACATAAAAAATACTGATTTTAATATGCCATTGAAAATCGAAGAAATAAGGTCAAGATATTTACTTTTGAATGGGCATGGTCTGTTTGTTTCATTGTGATCAGTGTTACGATGAATTGGTAAACACTGGTAGACAAAATATGTTGGAGCTTGCACTGCAGTTAAGGGATTCACAGAAAAAAGCCTTAAGACTAAAAAAAGGATATTCAAATAATATTCAAATATTTGGAAAAATATTGAGTGTCCGATAGTTTAAATTTTTCTTCGTCCGAGGGTCTGCTTTTATGATAGAGGTTATTGATGCGAAAGCTGCATGTGAAAGAAGAGCTTTTAACTATTACATGCCCTGACATTTTGTGTATGGATTTCATGCGTACTATTTTCTCTTACCTATTTTGAATATACACATATAAACATGAGTCCATGTACTATTATTATATTACTATTGTTTGCCTGTTATTTCGCAACATGTGCATTTGCATATCATGCATATAGAGTTAATTCTTCATAGCAGAATATACAGTGTCCGTTTTATTCCTGACGCCATTTTTTGTCTGCACTCAAATACTTTAGCCCATATACTCATATACATAAGGCCTCAGAACAGCATTCCCTAGACACACTGGTCCCTCGGTACAAAAGACCTTCAGCACAATGAACCCTTGAAACAACGCACCCTAATTCTGAACTTAACATATTTGTTACGCACGTCCCTTTGGTGAATTACTTTATTAAATAAACATGGCTTTGCTCCTACTATCTACTCCAATCAATATTTGTAATCTGATCACTGGAGAAAAACAATATCTCACTTACACATATTCTAAAAGGGGCCAAATTTTTAAAAGTGCGAACATGCCAACTGTTTCTTAATCTTGTCTCTCCATATGTCACAGGTATTCCCACTATTTTACTACTTAATCCTCCTTTGATCAGTTTCCATTATTATCATAAGTTGTAGTATTAGTGGTAGTAGTAGTAGTAGTAGAAAAAGTAGTACTTGTATGATATTTTATTAGTTAATTCTACTTTGATCAGTTATCATTATTATCATTGTTCTGTCATTCTGTCATTGCCATCTGTCATAAGTAGAACTGGTAGAAGTACACCATGTAGTTAATGTAGTAGTCAGGGGCGGATTCAGAGATATTTTCTGACAGTCTTCCAAATTATCTTTGTTGATACATTCTTCTTTTTTGACCGTCTTCCGACAAAAAAATTAGATACCCGTCAATTTTAACATGAAAATCTGACCGTCTTCCGGAAGACCCAGAAGACGGCCTAAATCCGCCCCTGGTAGTAGTACATTTAGTAGTAGCAGAAGTAGTTCCTAGCAGTAGAATGTAGTAATACTAAGCATGAATGTACCAATTATAGATTAGCATAAAATTCCTCTTTATATATATATATATATATATATATATATATATATATATATATATATATATATATATATATATATATATATATATATACATAACATGAGGGAATTCTTTTCAAAAATTGCCCTTTTTGTTGGAAAAGGTCCTTGCGAACTCAAAATTTCAACTAGTTTCTTTGCCATTTCTCAAGCTGGGTAAATTTCAGTCAGTGGTAATTAAAAAAAACTGATGTTTTCAGAATAATCCTTTGAGGCTTTCAAATGTCTGACTGGAGGCCTGATTGTACAGTAAGCATCAACTGTCAATTCCAAGCTACTGTTTGTCAGGACCAATTAGTCAACCATCTGATAAAGAAATGTGCTGACTAGTTAATTAACACACACTATCAGATATCTCTGTATGGAGCTTTTCAAAGAGTTCAGTGATTAGCAGAGGAAGTGAACTGAGAAACTGCTGACACATTCACTACTCCTCTCTCTCTCTCTCTCTATATATATATATATAGGTACTTGTATATACATACTTGTAGCACATAGTAGTTAGAAAGTCTTTAAATGTAAAAACATTTCTGTGCTCAATAATAATAATAATAATATTATTATTACAAGTAGCTCTTGCAAAAAACTGGACAGGCATGAAGCAAGTGATGGCTACAATATAAATTTATGAAAACATCAGATTTGCTGAAATACTTAAAACATCTTTGGCTGGATTAGCTGTAACACGGTATTATCAATTAAACCCCTTGACTTACAGTGAAAAACCAAAGAGCAGTTTTCTTTATAAGTAATCAGTTTGTACAAACAATCTGCAAAAAAAAAAGTATTTTTAAAAACTGGTAGTATTTAGGTTCTTCATGCAACACAATGTGCAATGTTATATCTTGAATCTGATAAAAAAAAAAAACAAGAACAAAAATCGATAAAAGAATCATAAAAACGACTCATTTCCAAACTGCTCTGAGTCCTCTTGCTGAAAGATAAGTGGATAAAGTGCGGAAAGAGCATCAAACCCTCACCAATATGTATCATTTATTTATATCCCAAAAACATACACTTGATCTTCTGGGAGAACTATAATTGTCCATCGTTGGAATGGTGGATGGTTCTTAATTCGGTTTCGGCACATTATGTGTTGACATTATCCAATTTGGATTGTTTTTGATAGTTTTCTTCCTCAGCTCACAGATACATTTGAAAAGAAAACCTCATCAAGTGTGCATGATGGTGGCTATAAAAGGAAAGCGTGGTCATTATGCAGCAAATGCTTTTTGTGTTTTTGCTGTATACATGGACTTTTAATTAGGGTGTACTGAAGTTTCATTTGGTGGTAAATTGAAATATCAGTCCATTTTGTCATTGAGCAGTACAGTTTTCTGTACTGTTTTGGTGTCAATTTCCAATACTTACGAACTGAGAGTGTGCTCCTATAATGTTCAGTAAAAGCAGGATAGGTCAAACTGAGATTAAATATATTATGCCAGTTTTATCTAGTTCCTTGTGAGTCTGCATCAATTTATCATTTATCTTTCCAAACTCTTTTTTTATGGACAAGACTCTTATACCTTTTTTAACTTTGAAATCTTGAATAAATTTATTGAGTATTGCAGTTTATAACAATTCATGAAGAAATTCAATCAAAACTTGATTAAAGGGTATGTACCAATATCACATTCAATTAGTTTATAATAATAAAACAAATAAGAAAATTAATATAATAATTTACTGAGTTCAACATAAGGTTATAGTGAATAATGTTTATATTCGAATTATAAAGAGTGAAAGTAAAATCCTGCAAAGAATGTATTACATCTGACAGAAATTAACAGGAAAGTGTGTTAGGTGTGACATGTTAGTGATGAAATATAGCAAAAAAAAACTGAATGTGCTATATTCAACAATTTGTCAGAGAGAGAAAATAAAGAGTATTAGAGAAATCAAAAATGATACTGCACAGTTTATTAAATTGTTGGTAATACCAATTTAACCAGGCCAACATTAAAACACTGAAAATCTATCCCTACATCACCGATATTTTTTAACAGCTATGAAGAAAGCAACCAATAGTGAAAATTTATTTAATATGTTTCCATATGGTAAAAAACAGTAATTATACAACTTACCACATGCCCTTTCATGCTTCAAAGTCACACCTGAATTGGTTTCACAAGCAGTCCTATTAAGCTCACACCAATTTGAGTATGTCTTTCCATCCGTCCCGCACACAGGTGACCCTACAGGTTCGCAGTGGCCACATGTGCATCTGGCAATCTGGAGGCGATCTATATAGCATACTTTCAGTGGTCCACAGTTTATATTTCGGCAGGGGTGAGGCTGTGGCGAATCTGAAGAAGATATGATGAAGTATGCATATTAATTTTTTTAATGATAAATCTAAATTATTTTTAAAAATTTGTAAACATTGCACATCCCATGTATATTTCACATCCCCCTTTCTTGGAAATTTGAGATAAATCTATTAAAAAAAAATTTTTTTTTTTTTTTGGGGGGGGGGGAGGGGGGAGGTGGTAGAAAAATGTCAAACGTAATAAAATTCTAGAATATTTATATCATTCCTCAACTAATCAGAAATTTCCCTAGCACAATATTGTAATTCAGTGCTGTTATATGATTAATATAAATTTAAAGCTTTCCTTTTGTGGTAACAAAAGTTTTTTGTTATTTGATTTTTTTTTTCATAGGCAAAATTCTCAAACTATAAATATATTTTACCACATCTAACCCCTTTTTCCTTTCCAACTGCAGGAGAGGGGGATTATTTTTTCTCAAAACTTGCTTTGTGAAACACGAGAAGGTACAACCATTACAATAAACATAAATAAATTGCAATAAAAATACCAGGACCCAACCCATATGCCAGAAAAATTATAGTCAGACCAGTACATCATTTTGTATATTTTTTACATTCAGCCAATGACTACTGTTTCTTCATTACGCCAGTAGATTTTTAGACCCTGATGGTCCATTGGGGCCAGTGAACAAGAAAGTTTTTATTATAATTATAATTATTGTTTATCTATTTATTATTATTATTATTATTTTTATTATTATTATTATTTTTTTTTTGGCAAAGGCTTATTTAATATTTCAAAAAGAAGTGGATAAACTTGGTGAGTGGTTCCATTACAGCAGTCACTAGTGTACAGAACTGCACTTGTATTGACCCTCCAGAGAGTGCCTGAAAGATTATTCCCACGTTTTCAATGTTTTTTATGTTTGATGACGTGTGTTGAGGGATATGAACTTATTTGAAACAAGTAAAATAATTGAATCAAAATATATAATCTAAAACCACTGAAGAACTTAATTAACACATTTCCCAAATCAGACGTTCAAAATGGTTAACTTAGTTTTATAAAAATATGACCCTGACCTTGTCACCATGCATACAATTTATCTTTTATTAAACAAATAAAATAAAAAAAAATAATATTTTCTGGATGTAAAAGGGCAACATTCAATACTTATCCATATACCAAATAAACAAATAAGTTTAATATGAAAAGACAAAAATTGCATTACAAAATAATCATCTAATCTGATAATGTATATATATATATAATTCAATTCAATATCAATCAGTTAAAAGATAAATATTTCTTTGGGAAAAAAGACTAAAAACACAATCACAGACATCATGCAAATGGCTTCACTGTCACATTCTATATGCTTGGTGAATGGTGCAAGCAGATTCTCAGCAGTCTAATGTGTTAGTACGTGTGCTTTACAATAAAAAGTGCCATAGTGTTAAAATCACATTCAACATTTATCATTATCTGCAAAGTAATAAAAAATTAATTTAATAAGTTACCATAATAGTGTCATCTTTTCTTTCACAAAAAACTGCTTTTTTATCATTATGTCATTAAAATCCAGACAAGCTTGAATGAAAAACTGGTTCTCCCTCAAGATGGCGCCAGATGTCCATTTCCAAAAAAAAAAAAAAAAAAAAAAAAAAAAATCAGCCAAGCAACATTAACAGCCAAATAAGCTGCATTTTATACAGAATCTAAAATGCCCTGTATCTTCTTTATCCCCTTGAGCAAACTGTGGTTGTCTTGATGACAGCTTCAACCCTCACTAGTGGCAGTAGCCCATTTAGGTATGTCAAATACACTTACTGTGGGCCAATTATTATTGAAAGCTCTTAGATCAATATAAAAAGGCCTTGAATCCCACGTGAATGTTTTATGGCATCTGCAAAACTTTTAAAGCTTTTATACATCGAGTCTAGCTTTGAACTTGTCTGAGCATAATTCTGGCTCACAGCCAGAGCTAAAAAATCTTGGTAAACTATGATCAGGGGTCTGATCATGGGAGTGGGTAGGGAGGCTTTTTATTTAATTTAAATTTTTTTTTTTTTTTGGGGGGGGGGGG